CCGGCGGCCGCTGGCGCAGGGAGCTGGACCCGATGGACGTCCGCGGGTGAGCAACGTCCAGTGCCTGCGCACGGCCGTCCCGACGTGGGGGGTTGGTCCCACTCGTGGGGAGAGAGGCCGAGGTTCAGATGAGACCTGGGGCTTTCCAGGCCTGTCCCCTGGCATTCTCACCCCGCTGCTGCCCGAGGCCCACACCCTGGGGCCTGAAGTCAGCTCCCAGAACAGGGTCGGGCATCCGAGGTCTCTCCCCTGCTGGGATGAGGAAACGGGCGCTTGTGGCACCCAGTGGAACCACAGCGGGGGCTGGGCTGGGCTGGGCTGGGCTGTGCGGTCCGGACGTGGTTCCCTGCCACTCCGTGACTTCTAGGTGCACCTGTCTTCCCAGCACCGGGACGATGCCCCCGGGGCCACCGCTCATCCCCAGAGGCAGCTCGCTGGGCGGGAGGGGGCGCGGCCCTGGGGGACTGACCAGGCATTTCCCCCAGGTCTATCGTCTACCTGGAGATCGACAACCGGCAGTGTGTCCAGTCGTCCTCACAGTGCTTCCAGAGCACCACGGACGTGGCCGCCTTCCTGGGGGCGCTGGCCTCGCTGGGCAGCCTGAACATCCCCTACAAGATTGAGGCTGTGCAGAGTGAGTGGCCGCCCTCGGGGCCGCATCCAGGGGGAGTCCGCCCGCGACGGGCTAAGTCCCAGTTTGCCCCAGAACGCACTTGCTCTCTGTGTCACTTGCCACCCACGGGTGTGCGTGCGCCATCCGGAGGTCGTTCCGCGAGCATTTTTTCGGTATTTCCTGCCTGGCACGCCCTCCCTACCGTAGTGACAGCTGCTGGCGAGGCTGGCCCCCGGGACAGGCGCACCCGCCAGAAAGTGGGAGCCGTTTTCTCTTCCACCCCTTCTCCCCCCAGCCCCCCCCGATTCTTCTTTGTTGGGTATTATTTCAAAATCATTACAGCTTTTTAAAAAGGAGAGAGAGGGGGAGACAGAAGAATTGATCGGTGTCATGTGAAGTGTTGAAGTTTGTATCTCGAAAATCCCCGTAAATCCTTTGTCTTAACAGCTCAGCGCGGGCGCGGCGATTCGGAGTTGGCTAATCCTTCTCCCTTAAAGGAGAGAAAAGTGAAAGCCGCCTCCAGATGCTGGCTGGTGCAGCAGAGAATTTAGCGATAGTTTGCAATTCTGATTAATCGCGTAGAAATGACCTTATTTTGGGGGGCGGGATGGAGGAGAGCAGGGGAGGAGGTGCCCGCGGAGCCAG